CATACCAGGCCTCACTCCCAGGGGTTCTGATTTAATAGGCTTAGGTAAAACTCATTGGTAGATTTTTCTGTAATTTTTGCTTGTTTGTCAGAGTTCCCTAAATGCTTCTAATGTGCAGCCAAGGTTGAAAGCCACTAATCCAAAGAATGTTTTTCTGAATAGTGTTAAGGTCCCCCTAGGAAGAGGAATCATCAATATGTTACAGGTCATAAGGCTCTGCGTCACACCTGGACCAGGTGAACATTTTCTAGTTCACCAGAAAATGAAGAAAAATCTCTAGAAATGCAAAACTGAATGTTGGATCACCAACATCCTGAACAAAAGAATTCATAATCAAAATGTTGCACTGAGTCTTTGTAATTGCATAGAATTTAGCCTACACTTAGAGACTAAATCCAATATAAAAATGCAGAATAGAGAAAGTGGAAATTTTCATTGACAATACTCCTACATTCTTAGTTTATATGATGTGTTTGCTTAAGAAGCTACTTTGACTTAGGCTCAACAATTTTTTAAAATGGAATCATGGCCTTGGGCTGATTTAGTTCTCTGAGCTTGAGTTTATTCTTATATTCCAATCTCTTTTAGCAATGCTTCTCAAATTTCAATGTGCCTGTGAATCACCTGAGGATCCTGTTAATACACAGATTCATATGCATTAGATTTGGGATGAGGCCTGCATTTCTAATAAGTTCCAGATGCGACTGATGCTGCTGGTCCACAGATGAACACTTTGACCAGTAAAGTCTTTGAAGACATTATGAAAATTAAATGAAATGACCTACATAAAGTGCTTGGCACAGATGTGGTTGGCATCCTACAGAATAAAAGACTTATGAGAAAAGTAATTAAATATGGTCAAAACCTAGAAACCACAAGATCCAACCCTCCTTCCTTTTGTAAATATGGAAACAACAGGTTAAGAAATGTTAAAATCACTACCTTGTAAGAGCAAATGGTGTAAAATGGAGAGGAGACTAATTATTTATGGCTACAAAGATTACAGTGGAGAGTTATGAGTGGAAGTTATAGAGAGCTTTTCATTTTATACAAGGAAAAAACCTTTGAACAATAGATGCCATCCTACAATCAACTGGTCCTATGAAGGAGAGAGAATGAAGCCCCCAGTTACAAATTATGAGTACAGACCGGTCGATGTTAAAGAAGGCATTCATGCTTTAGGTCACTGAGAACTATCTAAAGGACATCACAGAATAGACAAAAAACTTTTTTTTTAAAAAATAAAACAGAAACTGGGCCTCCCTGGTGGCGCAGCGGTTGAGCACTGGGTTGCGAAGCTGCCCGCAGCCTCTGCAGCGCTGGTTCGATTCCCGGCTGCTCCCGGACACCAGAGGAGGGTCCCACATGGCGCGCAGACCTCTCCTGCCGCCCGCTGCTCCCCTCAGCAGTGTACTTTGGTCCTTCTGCCTGCTCTGCTCCCCGCTCTGGCTCTGGTGAATTCTCTCACCCTCCCGCGCTTCTGACTGTACCCAGTGCATGTAGAAACAAAACAAACGAATAAATAAATAAATAAATAAATAAATAAATAAATAAAAAATAAAAAAATAAATAAAACAGAAACTGTCCTATTTCTCTCTTTACTCCCTTCAACTACCCCTGAAGTCTTCCCCTAAACAGTAAATGGAGTTGCTTTGGTAAAAAATCTTGGAGTCATCCTCAACTCCATTTATCCCTCACAACCATTCCATCATTAAGTCCTACCACTGTATCTTCAAATTCTGTCTGTAAGCCAGTTACTTCTTACATATCCATTACAAGCTCCCTGGTACAAGTCATTATCCCCGTATCTGGGTTACTACAACGGTCTCCTAACAAGTTTCTGTCTTCCCATTTGATCTTCTATGGTATTTGCTCAAAATAGTCACCAAGGTTTGCCACTTCCATGTTCAATTCCTTATAATGGCTTCACATCTCATTCAGAGTAAAATCCAAACTCCTTATAATGGCTTACAAGGCCTCACATGATCTTCCACCTCTAACTCCTGGCCATATTTCTATCTGGCTCCATTTTTTTCTGTTCCAGCCTACCATGAATCACATCAACAAAGCTCCCACCTCAGGCAAACATATCATATAAACCAAGGTTATTGGAGTATTGTCAATGAATATTCTCCATTTTCTCTATCCCGAACATCTATATTAGATTTAGTCTCTAAGTGTAAGTTACAAAGATTTAACTCAAAATTTTGTCCTTGCTCTTCCCTCTGCCATGAAGGTTATTAACTGAGATTTGCAAATTTATATCTCGCATCACCAATATGCAGAAAGACACCTAACAGAAGCACTCTAACAGCATTATGTGGAGAAAAGTGCTCAGATTCGGCTTAAAGATCAGCACTTTACTTTACATAATTGGTACAGATGAAGGTCTGGGTGAAGTATTCTAGCTCCAATTGTAACTTAGCTTCATTTTTTAAAATGACACTTTGATCAAATCTCCTCTTAATACCAAGTTTGGGAAGATGAATTCACGTACTCCTACTCCTACTCCAGGGCACTGCAATCATCTCAGCAAAGAACAACTTTTCTGGTGGCCCACTGGTCTGTGACCCAGCCTCAGCCTACCTCAGAAGATGAACAAAAATGCTAGAATTCTGCTATTCACGGGTTATTATGTCAACTTACTCCTTTTAAAACCAAGTTCTTCGGGTGATCTTGAGAAAACTTAACTACCACTGAGTAGCCATGGATAGTCAATGAACAAAGAAAGCTGGAGCAGGCATTTAGGTAGGTTCCTTTACAGAAAAAGAAGACACACATTTACAGAGCCAACTCTTCCTAAAACCCACCTCCAAGGATGAATTATTGCTCCAGTTCACACTCCATAGTAGCAGAGGCACTATTCACAGTGTAGCTATTCTGCCCATTCAGTGAAATTTTTAGGACTCAGAAATTAAAGCTATTCTTGAACTCTCAAACAGCTTAAAGGGTGATGAATGCATGTGACATAAGAATTAATAAGGACCCATGAGAGAAAGGAGAGATATGAAGAGGGATTCTGGCCTGACCTGAAGTGCCTTGCAATAAAGGGTGCCCTTGGGATGTCATCTTCAGCCTCAGTCTCTCTCACCTTGAACTCAGTCCCCACTCATGTCTTATGACCTGGTTTCCAGACGTGAACCAAATATCCAGAGGGGCATGGAGCTACACAAAACCCCCGTGCCCTAATTTAAGAAAGAAGACCTGGCACTCAGTAATTCCAAAAGCAGCAAGGCATACTCTTGGCTACAGATACTACACAGTCGAGGAATTGGATTTGTCCCTTCTAAGAAGTCTGCTCTGTGTTTCTTCTTGAGGGCTGCCCAGTACAGGCACTGAGGAAAACCAATGAATATGGACAGCAGCTTGTGTATTAAAAGGAGCAGAGGCATAAAACTGACATGCAAAAATGTGAAGTGTTAAATATGGGACTCAGTAATAGGCCTCATCCATCTTCTCTCATGAAGCCTAGAAGGACTCCTTATGTAGGATAAGAATGGGAGTTTGTCCCACAGAAACAGGCAAAGAAGCTTTGGTGAAGCATGCGAAATAACTGTCCTGTTCAAGCTGCTTAGGGACATAACTTTCCCCTCTTAGGGTACCACCCTGTCCTCATTCAGGTCTGTGGTCTGTGTAGCACATCACATCAGGAATGAGTCATGCAGAAGCTGGACATTAAACCTCCAGAAAAATCATTTGGGATCAACAATATTTCTGGACTAAATTCTCCACCTTGAAGTAACACATTAGTGATGATCTGATAAACTTAATCACTGTAACCACAGGCAAAGGGAGGAAATAATCTTTCTTTGTCGTTAGCAAATAAGCCTTTGAGAAAGGAAAATTTAACATAAACTTAAGAAATGTCTTCCCTTCTCCTTCAAAGACCCCCTTAAGTACCCAAAAGGAAGTAACATGTCCATCAAGCTCAGTGTGTGCCTCTTTATGAATTAAATAATTCTCTAATTGATCCCATGGGTAAAGAGAGTTTGACATAATGAACTGGCTTAAGTGAGGCAAATTCATACTGGGTAATTTGCACATCAATAGCTCATTTCCAGTGTTTATACACAAGAATATCAAGGGAAAGGCCATTTTCTCACCATTTCACCCAACCCAACCACGATATGCTTTTGTTTTTGTTTGTTTTTTTCAGTGAGAGAATATTGGGGAAAGTGATCTCTCCGGGTGAGAAGAAACTCAAGGAAACATTTGAAAGAAACGTGTCCTCAGTAACCAGTAGCAGGTGAGATGCGGGAGACCCAAAGGCCCTTAGGGAAAGCAAATGGCTCCACCAGAACTCCCTCCTTCAACCTTAATTACAACAAATGAACTTTCCAAAGTTGGGAGCTTCGTAACTTTCCCTCGTGCAGGTGCTCGGCCGCCACCTGCGAGCCCACCGGCCAGGACGCGCCCGCGGCGGGGCAGGTGCGGCGGGGCAGGCCCAGGCCGCTCCACGACGAGGACCCGCCGGACCCGGCTCGCGCCCGGCGCCCGGGACCCGCAGCCCCGTCCTCGGCCCCGCGCCGCCCCCGCCCCGCCCTCCCGCCCCGGCGCCGGGCGAGGACCGGGTGCCGCGGGCGAGGCGCGACGCGCCCGGGGGTTCGGCCGCAGCCCGGGGCCATCCCCAACTCCCAACTTCCCGGAGTTTCCCTGGCCTCGTCCCCTCCCCGCGGCCGGCGAGGCCCCGCGGCCTCCCTAGGCGGAGCCCGGGAAGTGGCGCTCGGAGGACCGAGCCGCCCCAGGAGCCGCGGCGCCGCGGGCGCAGGTAGCGGGCGTGGTCCCCCCGGCGCCCCCGCCCCCCGCCCGGCCTGCGCGCAGCAGCCCCCGCCGGGTCCCCGCGGGCTCCAGCACCAGGCCACGCGCGCCGGCTCCCCTCCCCTCCCCGCGCCCGGGGCCACCCCCTCGCCTCCCTCCCGCGCGCGCGGCGCTCCAGCCCCAGGCCCCGGCTCGCCGCCCCGGGCCCTCCGCGCGCGCCGGGCAGCGGCGGCCGCACTCACCTGGGTCGCGGAGCCGGGGTCTGGCGCGGTCCCGCAGGTGGTAGATGAAATCCTGGCAGCTGTCGTGCTCCAGGGCCCCGCGGGCACAGAGCTCGGCCAGCAGCTGCAGCGCCTGGTGACAGAGCGCGTCCCTGGCCCCGGGCATCGCCCCCCCGCATCCTCGGACCGCGCCGGGCGGGCGGGCGCGGGAGACAGCCCTCCGCCTGCCTGCTCAGAGCCGCCGCCGCGGGGCCGTCCGCGCGCGCCGCCCGGGACCCGCCGGGAAGCCGCCCGAGCCCCAGCCCCAGCGCGCCCGGCCTCCCACCGGTTGCATGCAGCTCTCCCGGGCCGCTCGGTCGGGCTGGCTCGCGCTCCCGCCCGGTGCCTCGGTCCCTCCCCCGGCCCCGAGCAGAGGCGGCGCCGCACAGCCCTGCGCGCCTCTCCGCTCGCTCCCCGCCCGCTACTCGCGGCCGCCGGGGGCGGGGCCGGGTCAGGGGTGCGCGCCGCGGGGTGGTATCCCGGCGGTCCCCGCCAGACCGCCTGCCGGGCTCCGGCGGGGCTCGCCCGCAACTACCAGCAGTGGGGACCCCGCTCCGGACCTCGCTTTTAGAGCCGCCGCGCCCAGGCTTGGAGAATGCGAGCGGGTGCGCGCTCCGGGCATTCTAGCTACCCCACCCCTTCGTCCTGATGCAAACCAACACCCTCCCCCGCCGCCCCTCGCCCAGTGGGGCCAAAGCACATTCTTGGGTGCTTTGTACGAAAGATGCAATTAGGACTACACCCGCCGCATCTGGAGAACCGAGTGCCGTCCTCAAACTTGAAAAGAGGCTCAGGAGCATAAAACATGGGCCTAAGGAGGCTAGACCCCATCTGCGGGTTTTGAAGCCAAGATTCACCCACAAAGGAAGGATTTCCTAAGCAAAGCACCTTTTGTTCACTCTGGTGATGTGGAAGTACTCAGACCAGAACTGGGGTGAAGAAAGCGTCTCCTGGGAAGGATGCTGGGACGTACCTGGAGTTTCAAAGATCCTGGCTGGTTTTCTAAGCTGCCGACTGGAAATCTGAAGATTGCCAACATGTCTCCAGCACCCACCCATCAAGGAAGAATATCACAGAATCTGAGTTATTTGAGAGACAACACAGGACACACCTGTCATACACCACCTCTTAAGCCTTTCAGGCAAAAAGCCCAGAAATAACCTGAGAGTATTGGGGTGTGTGTGTGTGTGTGTGTGTGTGTGTGTGTGTGCGCGCGCGCGCGCGCACGCATGTTGGGCACTGTCCCACAAATCTTTTAGATATATAATCTCATTTAATTTCCTCAATAGCCCAAAAAGTTTTGTATAACTATCATCCCCATTTACCAAAGAAGCATCTGAGACTCAGAAGTCCGAAGTTCATAAATGGGAGGCAGAGTAACCTTGGTTTTTTGTTTTAAGTGCAATCCCCACTCTAAAACTAGCAGAGTATACTCTCATTAACTGCCATTCTTAGCCATAAGTTGTGCTGTTGCTAGGGGCATCTCATAGCAGATCATACTGTGCAGAATGGTAATTCTGGATGCCATAGTGTGTGCACCCAACAGATGAGCTTTGAAATCCTGCTGCGAATGGTGCCAGGGCCTTAAGGACCTTTTATTAGAATAGCTGGGAAAATGCAGAGTGGTAAAGATAAAAGTAACTCTTTAGAGTTGTGCAACGATAAGTGGACTTTCTCCCCAAAAAATTAGGAGGGAGAGGGAATTCACTGAGAGGGAGCTAGTGGAGTTGTCAGAGCAGAAGCTGGTCCTTGAAAGAAGAGAACAGACCATGTGGCAGTGGAAGGGTGACCAGAGAAGGCTGGTCTTTGGTTCCCCTTGGCAGGAGGAGCATGTGTGACAATAGAAATAAAACACTGATTGGACTATGTCAGTGAGGAACTGAAAAAAGTTTCTGTGATAAGCCAGGCAAGATATGACAAGGTCTAAATTGATTGTCAGAAACATCCAAATTTTAAAAACATTTAAAGTGTTAATTGACACTGCAACCAATGGAATGTGCAAAGCTAAGACACTGAAGTTTCAAAAAAAAAAAAAATGGCCTATGTCATGTGTGGGGAGGCCCTGAGGCAAGCCTGGAATTTAGGAGAAAGGACCAACAATCATCCACAGAAAGGTAGAGACTAGGCTGCCATACTAGATGTGTTTCTGCAGAAAAGAAAAACAAAAAAGAGTGTTGCCATTTAAAGTGTGCTTTAAAAGGAGGAGACAATATTAGTAGCAGAGGAGAAGAAATCAGACAGGCAGTCATGGGAGCTAGAAAGGGTTGAAGGAGCAATTAACAGCATCAACTACCTGCAGAATTTAAAGAAGAAGAAACAAAGAAGTATCCTTTGAGGTAGCAGGTAGTAAGACTTCCATGATTTAGAGAGAAGAATGTGAAGTCCACCTCCCGGAAGATACTTGATGTTTCAGGATCCAAGGTTTCTCATGCTGTAATACTAGTATGTGTGTCACTGGGCTGTTCTAAAGATTACGTGAAGTAGTTGGAATAGTACTGCCACATAGTACAGGCTCAATAAATGTGTTTTTGTTGTTGTGCTGTATGTCTATTATAGTATGCAAGGTGCCAAGCACAGTTAATTTATTACTTGCAACATCTATGAGGTAGATGTATTAGTTCCCATTTTACAGGTGAAGAAGGTGAAATCAGGTGGTTAAGTAATTTTTCTAAGGACAGACTGGTAGATTGCTTCCAGAGACAGCCATAACCATCCCTCTCATCTCACATGTCTTTGGCAATGTGACTTGTTCACTCTTTCCACCAAGAAGGAGAGACCATTTCCCTAACCCTTAAATCTGGCCTGGCCCTGTGACTTACATTAGCTAACAGAATGAGTGGAAGTTATAATTCTGGCATCAGGATTATGGTTGGTGAGGATGTAGGGGAAAAGTACAGTCACTATGGAAATCAGTATGGAGAATCCTTAAAAATTTAAGACTGTAACTACTCTACGACCCAGATATCCTATATCTGAGCATACATGTAGCCAAAGGAAATGAACTTGCTATCTCAAAGAAGCATCCACACTCCCATGTTCATTGCATTACTATTCACAATAGCCAAGACATAAACAACCTCAGTTGTTTGAAGGATGAATGGATCAATAAATTGTGAGATGAATTTCATATCAGAATTGCCTGGCAGGATTTTTCAAGTCTTATATACATCCTTAGAGATCCTTATAATCCTCCTAGATGTGGAGATGATAGGTGATTGATAGATGATAGATAGATAGACAGACAGATAGTTAAATTATCCTACCATGAGAAAGAAGGTCAGAAATTCTTCCATTTACAACATAGATAAACCTGGAGGACATTATGCCAAGAGAAGTTAGCCAGACAAAGACAAACACCATGTGGTATCACTTATATATGGAATCTTTAAAAAAAAAAAGAGAGAGCTGATATTGCAGAATGGCTGTTGCCAGGGCTGAGAGTAAGTGAATAGTGGAGACATGTAGATCACAGCACATAAACTCCCACCTATAAGACTCTAATGTACAGCAGGGTCACTAGAGTTAGTTATATGTATTATGGACTTGAAATTTGTTCTTAACAAATGGCTTTGACAAAAATCTCTAGGTGTTGGAGCAGGAGAGGAGCAATATCTGTTTTATTGCCTCGCTAGCCTGAGTCAGAAGATTATAAGACCATATGTTTTTGTTAGTTCTCATTCTGTCCAAAGAACCAGGCCTCAGGTTATCTGCTGAAGAATTCAGTACTTAATCATATTTAATCAATCAATTAATCAATGTCTATTAAGTGCTCATTAAATGCAAGGTTTTTAATACAACTAACTTGAATGTTAAATTTCCTTATTAAAACTTTTTTTTCTTCTATCTTGCATTCATTACTCAAAACTTTATCCTCACAGTATGCTTATACTTGGGGTTATCCCTATTGCAATTTCTTGACTTTTCTTTCTCCCCTCTAACATAACTGCTCCTAATTTTCTTCTTTCTCATTTTCTTTCCATAAAGCTTTTGTTAGGAAGCAAATTAAAATTTGAAATCCTTTGGAATTTCAAAGTTATTATCAAAATTACATTATTACTACTATTACTGTAGTGTTTTTCATTTTTTTTTGGAAACCCAAACACAGAAATGAAGGGGGTAGTGATGGGTACATGAACTCTGAGCACTGCCCTGACCACTATCCTCCTGGGCCGGTGGGGACAGAGGTTCCAGGTGAGAGCACAGAGCCCACATCCTAAAGATGAACAAGCCCAAATGGCCAAAATATCAGCACTAGCACTGTGCCCTCACCAACTCTGATGGTTGCAATTAGGGCTATGCCTGATTTTGGTTTTGGCATGTGAGGATGGGCAGGGTCTGACAACTTATGTTCTGTGTGGTCTTTCCAGACTGGCCTAAGTGTCCATTTATAGCAGACATTGATGGAGCAAGTGCCCTGTACCACATACTGTACTGTATTTTAAGTGCTTCGTTTAACTGAATCATTACCACACCATCTGAAATAAGTAATGTGATTATCATCCTGACTTTGTAGATGGTGACTAGTATGCCCAAGGTCACACATCTAGAAAACAATGAAATGAAGATTCAAACTCACTTTGGGGAGGCTTCAGAGACTGAAATTTAACTACCATGTAACTTGTCTCCCCATGAATTTCATATCACAATTGCCTGGAAGGATTTTTTCCAAGTCTTATATACACTCTTGGAGGTTCTTATAATCCCTGGACTGCAGAAAACCCAAGTAACACTATAAAATGAATTATATATGGCTTACTAAAGATGTCATAAAAGCCTAGGTCAGGATATGATAAACTACAAACAGAACACTGTGGGCTCCTATTTTACAGCTACCCCAGTCCCTTAGAAGTAAGGGATCACATTGTGGTCTGGATCCCCGCCACTGGGCTTTGCCGAGCATGCATCCTTTTACTACTTCTATTCTGCATTTCTGCCTTTCATGTACACATCAAAACAGCCTTCCTCCAACAGAGACCTTAATTTCTTTATCTGAAACTCATCAAAGTTCAGAGTTTGCATAAAGAGATTCCACTAAATAGACATATTTTCCTTCCATTCAATAACTGTAATTGTCCTTTATGACACAGATGTTTTCTCTCCTTGTACCTGGGTAACACTTTACTGTTTCTCCATTATTTCTTTCCTCTCATTTTCACATGGGTCTCTACATTATGTGCTCTGTGTGTAGTATGAATGTTGTGGGTGCATCTGTGTGTCCACATGAATGCCTATGTGTATGTGAGAGAGAGGGAGATAATCTCTATTTTCATACTGGGAAGAGGTACCCTTTTGAGG